TAGGAGCCATGGGGTGCTCTGCACAGCTGCTGGGTTTGTATCCACACCGCTCCTACCATTAGWTCCTTCTGCTGGTTGATTGTGAAATTAGCTGGCAGTTTCATTTGAGGCCTTGGGTTTGTGCACACCTACCATTTCCCCTGGCRGTGCCACGGCTCAGTGAGCACAGCATCTTCACCAGCAGCAGCCCAGCTCTGCTGAGCAACCACAGAGCGCCCCGACCTGCCAGCTGGCACAGGTGGGTGTGCTGGTGAACCTCGGGGACAAACTGCCAAACTCATGGGTACAGGAAGCTCTGTGTCTATTCTTACAGTTTCACCAAAGCTGAACTYGCAGCTTGACTGGCTGCTCCATCCTACAAATACCCAAGAAAAGGTTATGGCCTATTGCTAAGCTCACAACCAGAGTTGCTTCTGGCCACACACCACTGGTCTGTCCCTGCCTAAAGGAGGAATGGACATGTCCTCACTGGCACCTGGCTGGCACTGACTATGTCTAACTCACCTTTTTGGCTCTAGAAGACCAAACTGAACTGTGGAAAATTAGATCATTTGATCATTAGATCATCAGCTATAGATTGTGGGTGTCTGAAGACACTAAGGAGATGGCCCCCTGGAAGCTTGAGGTTCTGATGGTGAACTTCTGAGTCAGACAGAGCTGAAGGTATTCTGTACTTCAAAGTAAAGTATTGTTCCTATCCTTTTGCTCACTCAACCATTTTAGTGTCAGACTGGCGGCTCACCAGACCGCCCAGTTCCTTTGCTCTCATCACACAACCCTAAAAARCCTTTCTAAGGTTTCTCAAATGTAGAAATAAATTTACCCTCAAAGCTGGCCAGCTCGAAAAAACCTATACTTTTTGTTCCATCTGGGCTGCCTTTAAAAATATTTGCCTCATCTTGAAGAGGYTGAGTGTGGCTGTTCCCTATAAAATACTGCAGTTCAAGTTTTCTGGTTTCACATTTTGCAATCTCCTGAACTCAAAAAACTGGCTCCATGAGCAAAAACACAGCCCCTTAGCCATTCAGAGCTCCCAGCTGCACAATTAAGATAGCTCACTGTTTGCCAGGCTTTGACAGCTTATGAAGAGGAGGAGAGGGTAATGAGCAACCCAAAGAGCACCAGTGGGAAATAGAAGGTTTCCAGATAAACAAAACACTGTATTCTAACCCAAGTGCAAACAACCATTTTTAAGCCACCAATGAAAATTAAGCTTATTCTTTCATTTACTTGTTCTTTAGACAAAAAGGGCATCACAGTATGTCTTCAGGTAGGTGAGAGCATTGTGAGCTCTTGGCATAGTTTTCCTTTCCAGTGTTTTTCTGCTGTTCAGCTTGAGTTAGATGAAGTCCCCAGGACCTCCCCTCTTAAAACAAGCCAGCTCAGAAGAAGACTTGTTAGCTTAAATTACTATGGCCACTCTTTGAAAACTTTAAAAATACACCAAAATATCAGAAGCATAAGAGACACCTTAGACTCAGGTGTTTAAGTTCATCAGCTTCTAATTCTCCACTGCATCCAGCACTCTTCATGAGGACAAGACACTCTGTTACCTCCGAGCTCTCTACTGAGCAATGTCTTTTCCTGACTCATTTTATTCTGGATGATTATCTCATCTGAGATGATATTTTACAGCTGTCTGGGAGAATAAATCACACATTCATTCAGAATGGCCTAGAAACACATTGGACCCTTCCTTTAAATTTTGATTAATTTGCATTTGAGCATCCTAATTCTAGATCTGAGGCCCAACTCATTCCATTCTGGCCATTAACTACACGCAAACATATAATTTAGAGATTTGCGAAAGCTGGACCTCAAAGCTGCCATGMTATATTTTCCACTTAAAGAGAAAAGAAGAATTCATGCTGGTTAATGCAAATGAATGTGGTTTTGCAGTGTATGAACATGTTTCTTCTTAGAGAGATTTTGATTCCTTGAAAACGGCAAATGCCGGTGCCTGATTTAGGAAGAGCAGCACTTATGGCACCAAGAGGATAGAAGACAGAGAAAGTTCAGCAAACTTTAAAAAACCAATCAACCAGCCAACAAACCGTACTCATCTTTGCCATAAACATTATTAATTTTTCAGTCATACAATTCCTTTYAGTTGGATTTTGGTTCCTCCAGCCACTATTCATTTGCTAACTGGAACACAGTATTGAGAAGCAGATAAAGTTGTTAAGATTGCTGTCACTAGGCAGCACAAAAAATATACACCCAACACATTTTAGTGGTTAATTAAAAAAACCTGAAGGCCCTCTGCTTCCCATTGAAAACCTCAGAGCCGTGCAGCCACCTGGATCCCCAAAATACAGCATTTATCAAGCAGCAATGCTGAGTGATAAAGGCACTGGAGCACAAAGGACYCACTGAAATAATTCCTGCTGTGCATATTCATATTCATGTATAGCACCCGAGAAACTACAAAGAGAGACAGGGGGAAAGAAGCTCTAATTTCTCAGCCAATAATGTATCTGACAGCCTGGGACTGAGTCATTCATAACTTGCCCTCTTTAAATATGCTCTAGATGGAAGATGTCCTCATTTAAAATAAGAAGACCAACCTGCAAAMGGCTGATTTACGTGCACACCAAAAACTTATGTGGTCACCTATGAGCAAGGAACCCACAAGTATCACAAAAAAATTGCCAGCTTAGCAAACATGCAGTTSATGTGTGCAGAGATGCTGATTTTTTATCTAATTCTGATGCATCAACTGATACTAAGTGAGAATTCCRTAGACCACAAGGAATTAACCTAGTGCTGTGAGCGAAGGCAGCACAAAATATTAAAATTCACTTTTAGGCTAAGTCTGGAGTATGCCTGTTGTTAGAAGATTAAAGAAGCAACCAATTTCWGCTGTACCATGACACAGAATAACTTGTTCAAAAGTCACTCAGAACTGTAGGGTATTTGTTTTCTGCTAATATTTAGTTGCACKCTTGGSTTTCTTTGTGTKACTCCAGATTCATTTCAGTCTGTTRCTGAGCTGGAGCTAGACCACAKTTGTGAGAAGACAGAAGTGGAAAAGCCCTTGAAACCTCCCCATTCCAGAAGGGGTTTCCCAAATGCTATGAATCATATTGCTTTCAATTCCTCTGCCACACAATTTTCTTAGGAGGTTTACCTAAACGTTGGGGTTCTGCTTTTTTTTTTTTTTTTTTTATTTAAATCCCATTTTTAGATGAGACAGGAAGGAAACTGTAGCTTTTTTTCTTCTCCTAGTCCTGTGGTACAAATGGTGATGCTACTTTTCCTACAGAAAGATGAAATTACCTCCAAAGCCAGATTGCAATTGTCACTTAGAGTTGTTTTTTCCCTTGTGTTTTTCTGCTAAGGATTGCAGTGGGTCCACAAGTCAGGAAAGGGGCTGTCAGCACTAGCAAGTGAATTCCACTTTAGCAAGAGAGATTCCAGAAAGCCTTGGAAGCTCATTTCAAGAAAAGTATGTTTGGCTACTATGTGACTTACATGTAAGGCACTAGTTTACTGCTTCATACACCTCACCCCTGTCACAGATAAACATTTATTTGACAGCTTGCAGTTATGAATCCTACACCTGAACTGGCTAAAACTGAAAAAATACCCTTTAAATAGTTTAACAGCTGCATGTGTGTAAGGAGCTGTGTCTTTCAGAAGCCTCCGAGTGCTTAGCTATGGATCTCCAGTATGCAAATTCAGCAGAAACTGGGGGAAGAAACCCTATTTTTATTACCTTTTCTACAACTTTCCACTTTCTAGCTCCTCCCCAGTTTGAGGAATAATTGGAAATTTGGAGGTAGGCAGCACWAGCTCACAAAAGCTCTCACCAGGGAAAGGCCAGGTGAACCCCCTGACTTCAGAGACAAATTGCTCCCTACTCTATTTTGATTACTGCTGAAGAAACAGATGAAGATTTAAATCTTTAATTTTTTTTTCACCTTCACTTGTCTATATAAGTAAGCACAGTGTTCTGAAACATAAAAAACAACAAAAAAAAAAAAAAAAAAAAAAAAAAAAAAAAAAAAAAAAAAAAAAAAAAAAAAAAAAGAGGAAAAAAAAAACGAGAAGAAAAGAAGGATGTGGTTGGGTATTTTGGCACGGTCTATATGAAAAAAACAGTCTCATGCCCTGGACTGAAGCAATGCAGCTGATCTGCTTGCTGGGGTTCAGGTAAAGTAATTCCTATTTTAGTTATTGACTTTTATTTTGCCAACAATTTAATTGCAGCATTGATTGTAGACACTATTTTAAAGTTGGTTAGATGATTATTGCTTATAAAGTTCAAACARTAAGATCAAGTATGTAGTGTCACTTTACTTGGAGCAGAAAGAAAGATTTCTGCTTTAATGMTAAATATTAATCTATTCTGTTGTAATCAAAATACTTATAAAAATGGCAAATTATTCAGCTACAGATGAAATATATGGCAGATATACATGGGGGGGGATATACAGGGGGGCAGATATACAGAGACCTGTTGCTCATCATTGCACTGAACTATCTTACTCTTCTCCAGTACATCCACAAGAGAATAATTTATATCCAACATGAATGATGTTCTAGGAAATAGATATAAAAAAGKATGGTTTTGCTAATAAAGCTTTCATGGTTAGGAATACCCTTAATATGACATCCCAAATCTGTGCTCTCATACAGATTCGTGTGAATCCCAACTAGAGCCAGATGAACTCAGATCCAAGCTGCAAATAGGAAACCATTCATGAATTCCCCTGTGCTGCAAAAAAAACTTAGTGAAGCTATTACTATAAAATCTTGCTGTTCRTTTGCTAGGTCAGAACACCTTTGCTCCTCACTAAACCACAAGCTCCTGCTGTAGGTAAACCCAATTAATGTTTAACAAGTTCACAGTAAGTGGGAAATCCTCAGCAGGAGAAACTGAGAATAAATGAAGCAGCGAWGACACAGAGGCGGGACCAGCTAAGRACACACTCTGTTGWGTACTGTTAATTACAGTTACTGTTAATTATACCACCTTTTGTTTTCTAGGAGTTGTCTGAAACAATCCTAAAGCCACAGGAGATTCCTTCTAAAAACTTGTTGGGGACAAAGAAATTTTCCTCAGAAGACTGGAAAAGAGCAAATGTGATACCTTTCGTAAGATGATGGAAAGGAAGGAGTTGGGAAAAGTAGATCACTAACCCTGGCTTCAGTATTTGAAAGAAATACTGGAATACCCCAGCAAAGAATCTGTTTGCACACATGCAGAAGACAACTCAGTGGTAAGTAAAAATCTGCAGAGATTAATCTGAGAATGACTGAAACAGAAGTAATTTGACTTCCTCTGTGATACTCACAGCAGTGGGACATGGGGTGTAGGAGGCACGCACTATCTCTACAGAAATTTTCACAAGCAAATGAAAGAAATATGATCTGTAAGAAAGCTCTGTATGATTAGTGAGTACCCACTGAGAGTCTAATCAGTGCCTACCRTAGAGGAAAGATGTCTCTGCTACAGTTCTGTATCTTTCAGGATGAGTATTATCAGTATTTTTACTAATAATTTGGACAATGAAGTAAYGATGATGCTTATGAAATGACTGCAAGGTTATTTGTCAATGAAAACAGTTCTTTGGGTAACTCTGAGAAAACATTACTTAGCTGCAAACAATTCCCGTGGATTACTCAAGATGTGAATTTTAGATTTGAGAGACTAAAATGATAAAAATCATCATGTTTTTGATAATCAGACAATTAGCAATTTAAAGGCTGTCTTTTCTTGAAATTGATAATTTTCTAGAGTAACACTATATGTAAYTTGGTGCTATTGAATTCTGAAGAAAATGCATTCAGTGAGCTAGAGATATGATAAAGCAGCACCAAACCTCAGACTTTTAAGAGTCATCATGCACAATTTTCTGATGAATTTACGAGGTCCACTAGGTGCTGGATTGACAGGTGTTGTCAGTAGCCCAAAGTATTTCATGTTGCCTGATTTTTTTTCCCCAGGTAGATAGGTGCCCTTGGTCACAGGACACTCATGGTCACATTAAAGCTCATATTCCCATGTCCCCTTCCCTGTCCTATCCTCTGGTGACAGCAGTATCTGCCTACACCGATCCCTTCTACACACGGCACCAACTCAGCTCTGTGTTTTGTGTAACTTTCTCATCTCTTATGTACCACAAACCTGATTTTCAAAGCAGCTGCCCCACGTTTCTAACTCAGAGAGATTGATTAAACCTCACCTCGATGACCAAACCAAAGTTTTCTCTCTGCTCTCATTTCTGACACATAAATCCACTGATAACATCCAGCTTTCCTTTTGCTRTTTCCTCGGTTCACAAAGCCCAGCTCACGTGGCTCTGTCCAGTTCTCTGCAGGTGGCAGTGGTACCCAGCCCCTGACCAACAGRTCACCCTCACTCCTGCAGTGGGGTCCCTGGGGGGGACACAGCCAAGGACAGTCTCAATGGATTTGTGCATCCCCTTAGTAACCCCCATTCACTATGTCTGTAGTCATCAGCTTTCAGGCAACCATTTCCCCACTGACTGAACAGCCCTTGTTCTAAACKATTTTTTTCTAGTGCTATTCTGTTGTTTCTAGTACACTTTACTSAAATGCAAGTGCCTGAAGTCCTCAGCCTTTCCCTTTTGTGAAAAAGCAGATACTTCATCAAAGATAAGGGTCTGGTAAGAGCTATCAAAGACTTATTTAGCAGTTTTCTTTAAAAATCTGTGTGAAGCTTAGACTCAAAAGTCACAGGATTGTTTTAATCATATTTGACACTCTCCCCTTCAAGAGACAGAGTAGATTGAACTTTTTCCAGTCACCCTAATAACATTCATACTTCATAACAGTTATTGGGTTGGACCTTCAGTTTTATGGGCCTATTCTTTCTATAGTCTGAGCTGGAAAATAATTGTTTCACTGATACAAGCATGTCAAACTCTGAGAGCATTTTCTGTTCAGATACTGTTATTTCAATTATCAATTATTGATTGCCACAAGTTATCCCATCTCCGACCTCTACCACAATGTCAGCATTTCTATGAAAAGTCATGGTATAAGAGTTGGCAAAGTGCAAGGCTATCCTTCTCAGTTRATTTTTAGCAAAACAACTGTTCTCAGTTTCTCTATTTTTTTAAAATATTTTACTCTTGCCACAGACACACACACAAATCTTTCACAAACTGKTTTTTTTTTCTCTAGCAAAGTTCAGCTCCATTTGGTAGTGCTTAAGAACTGYAACTTTTCATCCTCCAAAGCAAAGATTCTCCTCTTAATGAAACTCTACTTAAAACAACTTCACTTACTCCTAAAATTTCTCCTCTTGATCAAACTTTTCTTAAAATATCTTCATTTACTCCAAAAATTTCTTTTGAGCTGCTTGGTCAGCTGAACTGGACTGGAAACTTTAACTACTGATATTTTTCTTCTTTATTAGGACTTATTGTGATTTTGATTTAAAGAGGTTATAAAAAAGCACCTTTAAGGCATAGTTTTGTTAAAGCATATTTTTAAGAACAGTGATAACGTTTATTCAAGACAAATTTTTTTTTTAAAGAATTGCATTATGAAGATGTCAYGCCTTCCATTTGCTGATCTTTGCTGGATTATCTAAGGCAGTCAGTTAAAAATTAAAGTGTGAACCTCAAATTTAAACAATGCTGAAAGTTAAATACAAGTGAGAAAACATGCTTACTCATTTTGCACCTAGATAAAAGATCAGTCTTCTTAAGCTGACCTTTTAAAATACTGCATTGGATATGAGCCCTGTATGAAACTAAAATATCAAATAAATGTGGGTTCGGTAAAAGCACATCAGTAAAAGCTACTGATGCACGCGGATTCAGATATAAGAATAAAATGCCAGCTATCAGATCAACATGCCCTAATATGGGATCATAATTTCATTAATTTCTGTGTAGCAACAGAAACAAGCATAAGTGCTGGGGAAATTTCAACAGGTGTACAAATTATTAAAGAGAGCCAATAGTCTTTAGAGGTTTTGAAAATGGTATTTGAAGGAGTYAGCCTCTTCAATATCTGAATGGGATTGTGTACAGGGGATGGGAATCAGTGGATGCTGACTGCTTGCCCCTGAGAATCAGTTTCCTTTATAACATATCAGGCCATTCAAATTGGAAAYAGAAAGCTCTCTGCTTGAAAGGTTTCAGTTTCCATGATAGACAAAGGCTGACCAAGTGTCCAGCTCAAAACCAAAACAGACTAGAAGTATCTGTGTTCGGAGGTATCATGGTTTGGCTTATCACGACATTAAATGTGAGTCTTACAGATTTCCAACCTGCTCTATGTGTCATTTCAGGGGAGGAATGACCAACAACAGCAGGGAATGCAATTTCACAGCCATCGACAGCTTGGCAAGGACCCTGCAGCTGGGGATCTCCATCCCCACCTTCATCCTCGGGCTGGTTCTCAACACCCTGGCCCTCTGTGTGTTCTGCCGCTTTTGGAGGAAGCAGACCAAGACCTCGGTGTACATGATCAGCCTGGCACTCGCAGATGCGCTGCTGGTGCTGTCACTGCCACTGAAGCTGCACTATTCTGTGACCCCAGCCCCCGGGCTGCTGTGCTCCTTCATAGAGGCTCTTTATTTTGTCAACATCTACTGCAGCATCTTCATCATTGTCTGCATCACTGTCGACAGATATATCTGCATAAGGCACCCGTTTGAAGGTCGAGCTAACCAGTCCCCGAGGCGGGCTGCCTTGATTTGCTGCATCATCTGGGCAGTGGCTTGGACCTGCAGCAGCCCAATGTTCTTGTTTCACAAGAAGGAGACTCTTATATGCTTTCACAACATGTCAGAGCCAACGTGGAGTGTCCCCCTCATTGTTTCTGTGGAAACACTTGGATTTCTGATCCCGCTTGCAGTGATGGTTTTCTGCTCTGCTCAAACAATCTGGATTCTTCTGAATCACAAAAGTCAAGCCAAAGAGAAGGTGGAAGAAAGTGGCTCCTTACGAGTAATTGTCATCAACCTYGTGGTGTTTTTGGTGTGCTTCACACCCGTCCACCTTGGGATCTGCCTCCAGTTCCTGGTGAAGCAGCACGTGATCATGGACTGCAGTCTGAAGCAGAACATCAGCCTCTTCCTCCAGGTGTCGATGACATTTGCCAACCTGAACTGCTGCCTTGATGCCATTTTCTACTATTTTGCTGCAAAGGAATTCCGAAAGAAAACRCACCTGAAAAAGGTTATTGAACTGTGTCCTCTCTTTAAGCCTTGTGCCGTGCAATGGGATTGCCAGCAGTGGAAAATTGCTCCTTGCCAGGACACCGACAGTGTTGTTCCCTGACATGGCAGGGATGGTGCCAGAGGGGGAAGGACAATGTTTTTCCAGAGAATGCAAAACTGTTCCATACTTTTCTCCMCTTTAAAGTTGAAGGAGAAAAAAGYTGRATTAAGGAATCAGCATTAGCAAAGTGACAGACTGACACCAAAAGAAGCATTAGTCTTGACATTATCTACGAAATGAGAAAGGCTTGCCAGCGGAAGACTAACCAGACCACAGCCATTTAACATCAGCTTTTGTTATAGCTGCACCAATTTTCCTTTTACRTATGTGATCAGAAAGGTGTTGCTAAGAGAAAACACAGAAATAACTATTCATAACCTTTCTAATTTAGAAGGCATCCTRGTGGTTAAAAGGCAGTATTGAGCCATTAGTCTGACTCTGCAGAAGTCACTGTTGGAGCTCCTGTGCTTTGGGCAGTTTGGCCAGCCTGGTACAGCAGTGAATCCTCCCTGCTGTAAGCATTATGCTCTGCTCAGGGCTGCTAMGAGGGACAGCACTTTTGCTCTTTCATGAAGGCCAGAATAGAAACCCAAGGGAGAACCAAGTACCAGCAATTCCTGAGCAACAAACTTTCCTGATTACCTTTGCTGAAGAATCATCATGGTTTTCTCCTGCAATTTTAAAATGGGTTTTGACCATGGAAACCARAAGGACCCTTTCAAATACAATTTAGAGAAAGACTGAATGTGTTCAACTCTGATCCTACATCAGCACATTTCTATCAAAGATATAATATAACACATGTAAGAAATTCTTCTGCCTGTCTTCTCATTCTTTCTTGGAGCAGGGKTATTAAGAAAGCAAGCCCTGCATCACAGAAAACTAGAGAGTAACTGATACTCTCTTCTCTCCCAGCTGGGAGACTGGACCAACTCTATCCAGCTCATTCCTTAGAGAAGTCCTTCTAGMCTGTACTGCAATGCTTCTCAAAACCTCTCTGGGCATGTCTGAACCCTTCCTGGTCAGCACTTTTAGACTGTCACAACCCTAATGCCATTTGCAAGTTTGGCTCTGAATCTAAGCTAAAGGTTTCTTWGYTGTAGTTTAAGCCAACCATTCYTTGTACYCTTATTTGGCCATGGTTGGTGCTCTTAGACAGAAACATTTTCACAAAAATRAAGTAATTTTCTTTGCCTTTCTAACACAGCTGTGAAAATAGTCTGAGGCTGATGGTAATTGAGTTTCTGGGGCAGATATTCCCTTTATTCAAAATGCGAAAGGAAATTACCTTCTCTCTGTGGCAAATTAAAAAGAAAGGGGTCCAGTTTTGAAAATACAATTTGCTATCCATTGATTTCCATAGAAATGATTGACTGTGCAAGTAGGCAGCTGCAAATATCTTATAGTGGGCCTAATATATGAACATTTTAAAACTTGTTAGTACTAAAATTATGAACACAGCTGAAGTGAAGGAAGATTTTTATCATAATCTTCTCTGCTTTCTGTAAGAGAGCAAGAGGAAGAGCTTTCCAAAACAGTAGATTTTCTAAACATTATTTGTTACTGCTTTGATCACTCAGAAATTTACAGATTTTCAGTATTGGTTAAACATTCTTCTTTGTACTTTTCACATTACATTTCACACAAAATGAATGTGTGAGAAAGAAYACGTGTTACTAAATAAACTGTACGTGTGAAGTGTATGGTTTGAAAATATCTTTTCATTTCCAAGTTTAACAGCGTTATATGGTTYTCTACCTACACTAGTGGCCTAAAAATTACTCAGCAGCAGCAACTGTGACCCAACACAAGGCTAGGATTATTAGAGTCAGGGCTAATGAAGCAGTACCTTTGACTTTTAACTAATTTATCACTTGGAAAAGGTCATAGTATAATATATAAGGGAATAAGAGCACAAATGCAGGAGGCAAAAAGTTTGTGGGGAGACTCCTKTGTGCACAGGTTGGGGAAAGGTTTGATTTGCCAGGGCTAGGGAGACAAAATTCCCTCATTTCAGTGCTCAGTAAGGGRTAGAGTCCCAGCACACTCAAGCAGAGAGAGACTTCATTTACAGAAAGAAAATAATGTAATTGTCACAATGAAGGAAACAGTAAGTTTATAAAAATCAGCTGCAATAATGGGCAGTGGTGGCATCCACTGTGAGCCACTGGTCTACAGGCTCAGCCTGCTCCTGTCATATATGGCTACAAACCCAGACTACCAAATCTGGAAGTTAAATTGGACTATTTCCTTCAGTGCCGCTTCTTTGTTGGCCCAAGGTATTTTTATATGTAACTACATTTGTCTAAATTTGCCTGTTATATATGTAAATATATATATTTATATTATATATATAATATTATATATATAAAAGAGAGCATCCTCTCTTTTGAGCAAGAATGTGTTACTTTCAATTCACTGCTCTTCAAKATTAACTTACATTCAAATAATAATTTTGTGAAAGTGTTWYWGTCTAAGAGCACCAACCATKGCCAAATAAGAGTACAAGAAATGGTTGGCTTGAACTGCAACAAARAAACCTTTAGCTTAGATTCAGAGCCGAACTTGCAAATGGCATTAGGGTTGTGACAATCTAAAAGTGCTGACCCGGAAGGGTTCAGACAYGCCCAGAGAAGTTTTGAAAACCATTACATTCAAATAATACACTCAAGTCCTGTCTTTGACCTGCAGCTAAGAATACAGTTCTTTCTAAATCAGTATTTTACACAGAGACTCCTGTGTGAAATTCATGGTTAACTCTGGAGCATCTCCAGTTGGACAAAACAATGAAAATCCTTACACAGCTTGAGAAAGTACACAGCAATTCTGATGATGAATGTAACCGAAAAGCATTTGACATTTAAAAAAGCCTGAAAATCTTCCTGAGCTGATACACAGGTTCAGTGCAACAGAAGCAGTTTCTTCTCTCATGATGTTTTTCTTAACACAGAGAAAAATGATAGGAACCTGAATGTGAACCCTCACGTACTCAGGTCTCTTTCCACTGCCTGAATTGTACTATAAAGTCAAAGAAGCACTGTCTTAGTGGGGAAAAAACAAACAAATCAAGTGTTAACCAGAAACACCAAAACTGATGCTTTTTTAAGATGATGTTCTCTGTTTCTGTGAATTGAAGAAAACCACAATTGCACAATCCATCCCGCACCTTACAGAGGAGCTGTATTTGACAGTAATTTTTCCGGACAAGACTGTTTCAGGACATACGGGTGAGAATATTCACAAAATAAAATTTTGGTTTTATGCAATTAAACTTTTCCRACTGGGCCAAACCCCACAGATCTTCACAGCATAGAAGAGGACTGATTTTTCTTGAGGGCATTTTTATCAATGGACGATTACTCTGTCAGCATCCTACAATTAGCATTTTTTCAACAGTCAGTGTGATTCCCCAAGCTGTATTTTACAGATTCACACAGCAGCTGAAAGATAAAAATAGTTTGAACAAAAGGGGAAAAAAAACCCAAACCACAGTTAAAACAAACAAACAAAAACTCCCAGCAGACAAAACCACATAGGATTTGTTCCCCAAATTCTTTTCCTGTCCCTTTGCCTGGGGTAATATCATCCTCATTTCCCAGGCCGGCTTGAGTATAGAACTCAGTAACACTCCACTAATTTCTAATGCTGTAAAAGTACCATGGAAATAATTCTGGATTTTTGAAAAGTGGTATTGCTCCAGAAGTCCCTTCTGAAAGATTTCAACAACAACATCTAAAAGGTAAATTTGACTGGTTTGATAGCAAGTAGAGGATCTAATATAGAACTTTTTATAGCATTTATAATATTGCTTTTATGATGCGTGATTTATGAGCTGGAAAGCACCTGAGGGAGGGTCCAAGCCTAGATCCAAGCACTGACAGTCTCCTGCCTTCTCATGAGAGATCATGGTGAGCACAGACATGCATGGGCCAGTAGTCAGTCCAAAATCATTTCACTATGATTAAATACATTAGGTAAAAACATAAACCAGCCAGTTTTCCTTGTGAGAATGAACAACCACAAAGAAAGTCTAATAAATGTCACTCTAGTAGTTTGTCATATCAAGTAATTTCAAGTGTTCAGAAAACTGCAAAGTGAGAAGAGCAGCAGTGTCAGTGCCTAAGGCAGCCTCCAGATCATGAAAAGAAGCTGAAGTGGCTGGGAGACTGAAACTTATCTTCAGAAAGACAGCACCCCAAACCTCTCAGTGGTATTTCGCTCAAGGGCTGTTCTCTGTCACCACAACTTTATCTGCCAAAAACACATGCAAACAAGAGCTAAACTGAGGCCACTCAAAGGTAGAGACTTCTGTCTCTCTCAACAAAATGGTTTCGCTGAGGTTTTCCCTTCACATTCAGAACATTTTCCACTTTAGACTAATTCCTTCCTTTGAGCCTTGGGCGCTGTCTCCATCCTCCCCGCCAAGCACAAGGAATGAAGCCATGCAGAGGCACTGTCCTTTCAGGAGCTCACAGGTCCAGCAGGAGAACACAGAGCCCACTAGCCCTGTGTACAGACCTCCTGAGGTGACTGTCACCTGCCCTGGGAGCCTGCAGGGACCTGCTCAGCACGACAGTGGCAAATGGCAGTAGCTTGGACAACCCYTTTATGGAGCCATGGGAACAGTGAGGCTTTGGCTGCCACACACCAAAAGGTTTCCCAAGGACTTCCCAAGGAACTGTCTTCACAAAGAGGGACAGAAATGTGCTTGCYCTGAGCAAAATGAAAAGAAACCTGCTTGTCTGTTATTTACACAACAGTACAAACGGGAAAGCTGGCTTGGCTAGGTCTCCAATTAGGGTGCTTGCTACACATGTAGAGAAACATGAACTCCACACGCACTGTTGTGGTTGCTCTCCTGGCTCTGCCAAAATACAGAGAACGGAGAGAAAAGCCAAAGGTTCAGTTACCAAAAGGGGCAGCAGCTTCTCTTGCTCTTCAGCTGGCTGTGTGTGCAGGGGGAAGGAAGGAAAGCCCGGAGGAAGATGAACAGAGGATGCCACAGCAGAGCAGTCACGCAGAGGGGGAGCTGAGCCTGCTGTCAGGGGAAGGACSTGCCTGGGCAATCCAAGGTGGCTGCACAAAGATACAAACCCACTCCCAGAATAAAAATCATGAAGTACAGAAACCCCATTGACTCCTCTTCTTGCCCAAGGCAAGATTTTGGGTACCTCCCCAGATGTGTCCCCAAGTTCCTGTATGTGTTCCTGCCCAGCACTCTTAAAAGTTGTGCTCTTTGCCACTGCATCTCATATGGTGGCTTTCTTCAGCTGCTTTTGTAAACAGCTAAAACTATTTCTCCTSTAAAGGTGTGTAGGAAACAGAAGAAAACAAACCAAAACCCACCCATTTTTTTGATGTTATATAACATTAGTCTATGGAGAACATTAGGTGAAGGCTCTGCACTGCTTCTGAACACATAATTAAATGATTTTCTGTTGGCAAGAAAGCTATTTGCATTGGAAAATCACCCCTAGGAACTGATTACCATAAAASAGCACTATGTGATGAGCTTTCACAGTTTTGTAACCTCAATGTTAGCTGGAAAACTCCAGAGAGATAAAACTCACCCCTTCCACATGGGTACGTCAGGTTCATGCAAGCAATCTTCTATCTTTTTAACATCAGGCCAACAGAGAGACTAAAGCAAGAGTTAGCACTGAAGCACACTTGAAAAGACTAAGAATAGTCATGTTTATATAGTGCCTTTCATCTGAGGAAGTCAGAAGGACTSAAAGTGAGACATACAATGCCCTTCTTCACAGACT